GGTACAAGTCTGCCAGTTCTTATGGTGGGCATCAAATTGAGCAGAGTTATCAGTTGGTGGGTACCACGTACCAGTTTGCCAGTTTTCATGGTGGGTGTCCAATTGACCAGAGTTATCAGTTGGTTGGTACCAGGTACCAGGTACCAATTGTTGGTTTGTACCAGGTACCAGGTTGCCCGTTTTCGCAGTGGCAGTGCAGTGTGTCTGCCACCTTGAGCACAGCGCGAAGTTCAAGGAACATCTGTTCCTGGTCCGCTTGGTCTGCAGAAGAGATCATATGCCTCATGGAGTGCGGAGAATCGAGGTGCGGAGGCAATCAACGGACCGATCTGGAGCTTGTATGGAGAAACGCGGTGTGGAGAACAGCGTAGCTATAAGGAGAAGAGAATAGCTGTATGGAGAGTAGTTGTAGGGAGAACAGTTCTGCTGAGAAATGGGAAGGATTGCTGTGTACATAGTATCTGGATGATGTGAAGGTGTACGATGAGGGGACGAGGACAAGGTTGATCTTTGGTCTCCGGCGCGGGTAGTTGAGGCTGGATGACAACGTCGTGATCAGGAAGCAGGGATCCCAATCAGTGGTCAGCAGCTGTGATGGAAAGGTGGGAGGCGGATATTATGTCCATTGAAATGTTTAGGGAGATGTAGAAGTGTGTCACTGTATGGCGAGTCCGATGTCGTTTTCCATTCCACCGAAGGCGAACGAACGCATGTATTATCTTGCATCTCGTCGAGTCTTCTGCATGGTTCCCAATCTCCGATACTCGGCAGGGCAATGATCTTTATTCTTATGAGAAAGGTAACAAAAAAAAAAAAAAGAAAAAAAAAAGGTAACAAAGAATTGCTGGCTCGTATCGTACATTGCGTACATGCCGGCGATTTCGTACCGTCAGTTGTGTAGAGGCAATCAACGGACTGATCCGGAGCTTGTATGTTGTATCGACTTGTATGTCGATTTTATTAGAAAGTGGGGTTGGCTAGGTGTGGGAAACGGAACTGGGAAACAGACTGACAAATCGGAACGCCTGTATGTATGTGTAAAGATGATGGGATGGTTTTGAAGGTCTTTTTTTTCAAATAGGGATAATTTGCAAAATACCCCCATAAGTTTAGATTGTTGCCAAAATGCCCCTAAAAGATGTGACTTTGCAGTTCTTTGGATACTACAATTGCATCAAGCGGGTGGGTGGTGTTTTTGCAATGGAGGAATTCTTGTGCTACTGTGAATGTCGATTGTATCATTGTGATGATTCCCCTAAACTGTTGGGGTTTGGGGTCCTCTGGTTTTGAACCTGGGTTTAAACCACCAGTACCCTGGGGAGCCTGTGCGCATACGTCCTTTTTTTTTTTTTTTTGGTGGGGGGGAGGTTGGGGGTGGTGGTTCCCCTACCTGCCTACCTGAGTTTTCCGAATCTTTGGAAGGACATAGGGCCTCGCTCCCCTACGCAACACTCCATATGTATCTGGAGCTTATAGTTGTCCTGATACATTCAAAATGTCGGACTTGTCTGAAAGGACCTGATCCAGAAAACGAGTCCAAATGTAATTAGAATGTGCAGTCGTGGAGCGAGGCCCACCTTGGAACCAACAGCGCTTTGTATCAATTGCGTTTTTTTTTTTTTTTTTCACATTCTCATTGTTGTCTTGTCACCGGTTTTTAGTTTTTTCGGTCGCCTTTCAGGTTTTCTTGTTTTCTTGTTTTCTTTCCCTTTTAGGGAAAATTTATGAATGCCCTTGAAGATGATGGAAATGCTGCAACACTCCTGCAAGATGTGAGTGGAACGAATGGCCGTCTGGCAAATGCCAAATTTTATCAAATGCCCTGCACCCATCATCTTTGCGACATGCAAGTTTTGGAAATGCCCCTGTTCCAGCAGATTTTCAAGCGCGCAATTGGCCATCTGCGGAGAGGGTTGGAATCCAAATCTCCGCACCTGCATGGGAGGGGTACAACACAACGACATTTGTGGAATAGGGCATGGTTTTCTACCCAAATCTTTTTTTTTTTTTTTTTTTATCACTACTCTTTTCATTTTTTTGAGAAAAGCCCTTGTGTAAGCCCTCTATCCCGGCTGTGGTGCGAGAACCACCAGAATCGAGGTTATAGTTGTTGGGCTGCTCCATTTATTGGTGGGGAGCGGCACCTGCTGGAAACCGGGCCCATCACCACCCTTCGGTTCATCGGGCCTGGTCAATTCCAGGTTCCCTGTCATTGCTATATCGGACCCATACTGTGGTCCCATAGACCCTATACCCTTCCACTACTCTTCGCAAACCCTGACCGCCCTCAGGTCTATTAGGCCTAGTGAATTCCAGATCTCCGCAGCCCCCCAATTCATTGTTACTATGTCTGTTGCCCACACCCTAAACCCTTTGGAAACCCTCCCAAAACCCGGAATTGCAGGCTGTCATATCTGTCGTTCACCACCCTTTCGTCCAAAATCTTCTTAGCTAGGCTACTTGGCTTGCTGGGCTGTGCAGCCCTGGCAAGTCACCTGGGATGCACCTGCACGCGGCCATCCATGCAGGCAAGAATCAGCCCTTTTTTTTTGGAGGGGGGGGGGGGGGGGGGGGGGAGGGGTTTTCTGCGCATGGCCAGAGGAGAGGATCCCAAGTCCGGGCTCCTTTCTTTTTCCGTGTATTGGCTGTCAAGGGGGGGAAGGGGGCCATAACTTGGTGGTTAAGGGGCTAAGGAGTTTGAAGGGGGGTGCCTTAGTCTGATTGTGTTGTTTTCTTAACATGCCACGATTTTAGGAAACATACGGGCCACCACTGGAGCGCCCAAATTCATCCGGTGACTAGGAATGTTTCTACTCCATTTTTTTTGGCGGCCAATAGCTGGGCCAAGTACCGGTGGTTTAAGCCACCAGTACTTGGACTAGCTATTGATGCCGAGCCTGAATATGCCATGCGCCCCAAGCTTTTGCCGAGCCTGGAGGAGGCGGGAACAGGTAGGGGACATTTTTTTTATTGGCACAGGTACTGCCCCTTATGCTGGACCTGCAGCCAACAGCTGGTATGAAATGGGGCAGCCATTTTCACTCGTGCATCAGCCCAGGCCGGCCCACGAGTGCAGTCAGATACATTCTGGAAACAGAAGCGTGAGAAAAAAACAGAAAAAGAAACGACGGAAGCATTGACTGCTCTCTCATGGGGAGCACATCAGAAACGGCCAACAATCTTCTTCCAGGAAACGTCCCGTGACACGTCAGCAGGGGTAGTGCCAGCCGAGGGATTACATGGTGTAGAACTGTGTGTGTGGCGCAGCTAATGGGGGGAGAGATGGATTTGGTAGGGAGGTTACAACAACAAGCAGAAGAATGGATTGCCACACTGGAGGAGGGATGTAAGCAGATGCAGACGATAGTGGGATTGCTTATGCAGTGGCAGCATGAAGGGGGGGAGATCGATGGGGGAGCGATCTCGATGGACCAGTGGTTGGAAGATAGGATTCAGGAGTTGTTGGACATCATATGGGAGCTGGAGGATGGGCCGGATCCCTGGCTTCACGTCTACATCGACTGGAGTCGGGCGGATGATAGGTTGGCTGCTTGCAGAGCCCTCTTCACATTGGGGCGGGATCTGCGCAATCAGATGGAGTATCGCTATGGACTGTTGGCAGATGAAGATGATTGCGGTGAAAACACAGATAACAGTAACAACATCAGTTACAGCGACATCAAGGACTGGGAGGATGTCAATAATAACAAGGATGGGGGGGGCGACGTCCATGGCTGCAGCATGATGGGAGCAGTACGGCAGGGGGACGTGGAAGATAATGGACACGCCAACAACAACAACAACAACAACAACAACAACAACAATATCAACTATAGCGATGGTGCGCAGGGATTGGGATTGGGCGAAATGGGTGAAGGGGGTGCGAAGGATGACAGTAACATCAACAACGATGACGAGAACAACACCAACGCCAACGCCAACAACAACAACAACAATATCATCAACAATGATTGCGACGATGGAGGCTACGACAGCCATGGGATCGCCGGGAAAGAGAGGGGAGATGGGGGGGGCGACGTCCACGGCTGCAGCATGACGGGAGTGATATTGCAGGTGGATGAGGAAGACAATGGAGCTGTCAACAACAACAACAACAACATCTACACCAACAGCGGCCATCATGTCAGCGGCATGCTCAGCAGCAAGGTGTGTGCATCTGCTTTTGCCAGCTGTATGGAGGGTGAGGGGAGGGGATTGGCTGAGGTCGATAGGGAAGGGATGGGGGTTGGAAGAAATGGACTGATGATTTCCCCCTCCCTCGAACCCTACCATTTTGGCTGGCATCGGGTTGGGATAGGATAGTTGCCTCTCCCCACCCCCTTGGTCGGGTGGGGTTGCCCGGTCCGCAACCTCATTGAGGGAGGGGGTGGGTCGCCCCTCAGGTGGTGTGATTGCCTGCTAGGGATGTGGGATACAAGTTCTGATTTGGGTCTCCTCCCCTTTCGCAGGTGAGTAATCAATCCCTCTGCTCTTTTTCAAGATACAGGAAGGACTGTATTGCTTCTGTGATTGGACAAATGTCATGTGTGTCTGACTCCTCGCCTGAAAGGATTGCTGTCTCATTTTGGTTGCGAGGCTCTATAGATCAGATCGATAGGGACGCTGGGCTCGTCTTCCAGCACATACAGTCAGACCATGGCACTAGGACGCTGGACCTGATTTCCAGCACATATAGTTTCATCATTTGGATAGGGTTGCTAGTCACAGTGCTGGACTACACATTACATCAGGATTAGGGTTTCGCCTGATCGGATTGCTGTCCCGTTTTGTTTGCGAGGCTCTATAGATCAGATTGACAGGGATGCTGGACTCTTTTTCCAGCACATACCATGGCACAAGGACGCTGGACCTGATGTCCAGCAGATATATTTTCATCATTTGTATAGGATTAGGGTTTCACCTGATAGGATTGCTGTCTCGTTTGTTTGCGAGGTTCTATATACCAGATTGACAGGGATGCTGGACTCTTTTTCCAGCACATACATTCACACCATGGCACAAGGACGCTGGACCTGATTTCCAGCAGATATATTTTCATCATTTGTATAGGGACGCTGGACCCGATTTCCAGCAGGTGTAGCTCCCCACCAATTGATGGAGCCTTCGACGCTGGGGCCTACTTACCGGGGATGCTCTTATCACCTCGCTAAGTAGGTTTCCCATATACGAAGTTAAAAAAAAAAAAAAAAAAAAAAAAGAAGAAGGGAAAAAGGATACAAAGTGCCCTCAGTGCTGTCAGAGGCCCGCCTCTCACGGCGGGCAGAACGAAGAGCTCAGTTCGGCCTCGCTCCACTACTCCCCACATGTATATTTCCATCTTCCAACAGAGGATTCAGTCTCGGTTTGCAAGTTTGGATGGTAGTGGAGTGAGGTCATCAATGCTGGCAGGGGGAGGTCCCCTCAATTTTTCTTAAAAAAAAGACCCTAAGGCTTGTTGAAGCTGTAAATGTCCTTTTTTTTTTTTTTTTTTGAAAAGTCCATGGTATTGTAGAGGCCAATCAAATGTCCTTATGGGACGCTGGACCCGGTTTCCAGCACGTGCTGCTCCCCATGAATAGATAGGAGCATTTGTTCAAAAAAAAAAAAGCGAAAAAAAGAAAAGAGAAAAAAAAGCGAGAGGCCCTTTATCTGCCCATGTTGCCCTGCTCTTCTTCTTCTTCTTTGTTTTCTTGTGCCTCCGTGATTCGCTTCAGCCAAGTCAGATCACCAATCAGAGCAGCAGCATAACGTTTTCTTCGGAGCAACAGTAGTGAGCGAGGAGATTGGCCAGTCGACGGTCTACTCCAACAGAAGCCGAAGGGAAAGACCGAGCTGAAGGGGAAAGAATGGGTAGTGCTATTCTCGCATCACAAGCCATGGTGGGCCAAGGGAAGGTGTAACTTGTGGAGGAAGGCAGGAGGAGGAGAAGAGTGAATGAGCAACAGATCGGATCTCTTGCAATCAAAGCAGAAAAGAAAAAAAAAGTGAAAGAAATTTCTCTCTCAGCCAGTCTACACGAGTAGGTGGTCGGGAATATGTAGTGTGAAGTTGCAGCTCAGAGTCACTGCTCTCCTGATAAACGCTGTCCTGATAAATGCCCAACCTTGGGACAACGCGCACACAAACAATTGTGAGGGACGCAGGGCCCTGTTCCCTGCTCGTATAATACATTTGAAGCTTCTTTTTTTCCAGGGGGAGGGGTAATCGGGAAGGCACAGCGATTGCCCACTCAGATGATGCTTGGTCCCTCTGCTACCGGCTGCCCTGGCCGGTGTCCCCCACTGGGGGGTTCCCTGAAGGCAATATCAGATTACGCACAAGATTGAATTTACCTGGGCTGGTCAGTCTGATGATAATACGGGGCTCGGCACACAGCCTTTCGAAATGTGCCAAATAGACGCAGCATCTTCGCCACACAGGCTTTTAAAGCAAGTGCCATCGAAAAAGTTTCGAAAGGTGTCAGATAGTTCCGCATCAAAAGTCGTTTAGAAGGAGCACGATTCTCCCGCCTGTCACCATGACAAGCATTTCTTCAAAAGCCCAAGAGCTCGCCACACAGGCTGTTGAGTTTCGACAGCTGTCAGAAAAAATTCAAAAGTCTGGCGGTCGACAGTGTACCCCCCCTTCGCCACACAGGCTGTCGAGGGCAAGGTTTCTGGTCATGGCCACCTTTCGACAGGGCACAGGTGTCACGGAACAGTCCCTGACAATGGAAATTCGGACGCAATTCTCGAAAGGCAGGTGGGGCACTTTCGGATTCCCGTCTCCTGCAGGCAGGAGGGGGAGGAAACGAATGGGGGAGGGTGGCTGACACTGGCTGTCGAGCGTACCATTCTGACACGTGTCGAAATTTTCTTGAGCCTCAAGTCTTGGAAAGTCTGTGTGGCGATGCAAAATTGTTAAAAAGCTGGTTTTCTACAGCCTGTGTGGTGAGCCTCTGGGCCTCCTGCACTACACTAGACACATGAAAAAATTCAAGAGTATGTCTAGCGCTGTCAGACTCCTGGTTTGGCATCAAGTGCTGTCGTCGCTGCACTTACTCTGGACTCTCGACTCGTGAGAATTCCTGACTGTCTGACAGAAGTTCGAGAAACTGAAAAGAGACTACACGACATCCTCGACAGGGCAGCGATGATTTGTCCACCGAGACCGGAGACCAACTCTCAAATTTGCAAACCGCACGAAGGGTCCGGTGGGCCTCATTTGAAAAAAAAACCCCCTGCAGGCAGGAACTGTGGAAGCGTCAAGAGCTCGTCCAAAGGGCCGTTTTTGACACCTCTTGACAAGCCGGATCGAGAGCAGTTTTCCACAGTTAGTGCAACCATGACTCACTCTCCATGTTTTGGAGAGCGAATCTGACAACTCTTGAATGGAAATTCAGGACGGGGCGTCAAGAGTTAGTGCAGAGGTGATGACCTCTTGATTTCTCAAGATTCAAGAGTAGTGCAGCGAGGCCTCTGTGTGGTGAAGAAAAAATGCCGAAGACTCCACTTTCGACATTGGTGTGGCGAGGCCCCAAGAGTGGTCTTTTGAAAAGTCCCACTCGAAACAGCCTATTGGCAAAAAAAAGAAGATGAAAAAGGGGGTATTAGAAGTAGAAGGGCCTGACTCCACTACTCTCCACATGCACAAAATACTTTTTTTTTTTTTTTTTTTCTTTTTTATATGGTCCGAGGAATCGATTACGAGGCATGTTGGATAGCTGCTGCTGAGTATGTTCTGGATGAAAGGCTGTTGCTGAGACAACGAGGGAAGAAAGTGACTTGGAGTATCCTGCCTAGAGGGTTTGAGAGATTCCCAAGTCCGCCTGTGCCCGCTAGCTTCTGCGACGGAAAGGACTGGGGACCAATCCTCAACGCGGTACTTAGGGACCGAGTGTGGTGAGCTATGTCAAGAGATGTCTACACTCCTGATGACGGAGAGATTTTCTGCTTCGAGGTCTATCTAGATGAGCAACGAGCGACTGTCATTGGGGCCGTGAGAGGATGCGACACTAGACTGGGTAGGCATGACGAGATTGGCATGGTGTAACACTACCTTGAGCTTATGCGAGCGGCTGCTTTTAGAGCAATTACGGACCAGACTAAGATTAAACATTTGCTGAACTGCAAGAGTTCGGATGGCAGGAGAGTGATGCTACATGCGAGGGATGAGACCATCCTATCTAGACAGCGTCCTGCGAATGGTCTGGATAGAGGCGCTAGAGGCAGCCCAAGGCAATGATACTGGAATGTGAAAACTCTATGTCAACTGCGACTGTGACCATTGATAGAGGATGGTTAGATAAAGTAATTGAGACTGACAATCCGTTCGAGATATTGAGACACGACATTTGTAAGGAAGGGCGTTCAGTATTTTATGTTCCAGTGGTCAAATTTCTCAAGACCGACGAGCTTGACGTGAGGGTTTATGCTCAGGAAGGAGTAAAAGAAGAAGAAGGCTATTTAGCGTGTCTGAGGAGAGTATACATTCACCTCTCGAGGATAAGGGGACAACTTCGAAGCTTGCATGAGAAAGTGACTTGGGAGAAACGAGTCTGGCAATTTGAAAGACTCCCTAGTTTTCTGACTACGGATACCTTCGCTGACAGGAGAGACTGGGCGCCTCTTCTAGAAACTATTGCCGTGGTTGGCAAGACAAGAGAAAATGACATAGTCATGCGACCAAAGATGCTGTTTTTTTATACCTTTGTACGTCGATTCGAAGTCCAGGACAAAGGATCTCCTGAATTTTCTATCACTTGACAAAGGCAGAAAACTTGTTGGCTTCTTAGAGAGAAACTCGGTGAATGCAGGACTGACTAAATATGGAGAAATTATGAGATGGCGAAAGGCAATCGTGAAAGGCCGATTGGAGGTAACTTAGTAAGACAAGGGATAGATAAGGAGCTGACAAGACAAAAATCTGAGAAGGTGAGAGCCCTCATTCGCAGTTGGAGCCGTGAGAACCAATGCTTGTTAGGGACCTTGATTTGTAGGAGGGTTCGAGATCCAGTAACAGAGGTAGTAGAAATCAGGAGAGGCACGTCTTGCATCGACGAGGCCGAAGGTGAACTCTATATTGACACCGACGTCTATGGAGTAGAGGGGGAACACCAAGTCTATGATGAATATGAAAGGTTGAGAATGATACTAAGAGAAGTTAGGAATTAGGCAATGTCTGGTTACTGTCCGGAAGTCACGGCAACACTAAACGTCCTAGTTCCTTTTACCAGTGGAGGAGTTTTTTCCTACAAGATAGAGTGTTGTGTATCCCTGGAGGAGAAACATGCACCTGGGAAGGCGTATATCCTTGTAGTGAAGTTCCTTGACAATGATGAATACGATATTCGATCCTATGTTTCCTTATTGAGAGAGAGAGGGACAGATCGCGAGTTTTTTCGAAGCTGGGTTAGTAATATAGTTGATCAAGAAAAGAGAGAGTTAGAAAGAAAAGGGGAAAGAGTAGTTAGTGACTTAACACCGATTGTGTTTGATAGGTTTCCCGAGCCTCATT